GTAATAATTGTTATTACAAATTGTACTGTTGTGTGTATATTAAAATGTATTTGTATTAAAAACAAAGACGGTTTGTATCAATCTTGTTGGCAAATATCGTAAATTGACTAAAATATTGGCATATATTTAAATACTAAATCCAAAGTACAATTTAACTACTAAATTTAAACTATCAGTTAACTCGGCTTTGGACTATTCGAAATTCTAATACGTAACAATACATATATATATATATATATATATTGCAAACTGTATTGAGAAAATATGCCCAAAAATTAGCACAATGCATTATATGAGATTTGGCATTTTCATTTTGGTTTTCTGAATGACACCCAATCACAATGTGCCATGTTAAAACTTCATTTTTGCACAGAAAATATTATTATACCTTGTGTAAGTTGCATTATACACCCACGTTGTCCTCTGTTTCCACAATTATTTCTAATGCTGTAAATGTTTTAAATTACAGTAATTTTATTTACTACAGTTCATACATTATTACTACAATTATTATATATATAGACACATAAATATGAACTTATACATGTATAGATACTGCATACAGAGTGGTTTTTAACATCAATTTTCATTTGTGAGAAAGATAATTCTACTTTCATTTTGTTACGGTTTCAGTTATCTTTTATTTATTATTCATTCTGTCATTTAGTTCAACTAGGAATAATTAGTTACATTAAAGAGATAATTCACCTTCTATCTAGAGCACAGTATATATTATGAAACTGAAACCAGCTTTCTCTAGCAGTGATGTACAGATATTAATGTTGTGAAAGATTATGTAGATTTATGGTAATAGCTAGTCAAATGAGATGTAACCTTGTGGCCTAACCACTAAATAAAAAGACTTCCTTAATCTTGAGATAAAGTTAGAAAGAATTTTTTCTCAATATTGTTCCTGATATTGAGAAGTGGTTTAACTTTGAAAAATTGTGTTATTCTCTGGTGAATTAGGTTTATTACTTTTCTGGTTTTTTTCCTAATTTCTTTGACATTTATTGATATTAATCACATTGAGATATATGTCGTATTGTTTATTGATTTTGTACCTAGTCCTGGCCAGGTACAAGTTTACTAACTGTTTTTTGTGAGTGATAAAATTTGTATTCTAGTTGTATAAAAGTTTCTTTTTTAGATTTATGTTGTGACATTTAATAAAGTGATTTTGTCTGACCTTGTTCTAGTGGCATTTTGTTTAGTCCATTACATTTTCATATATGCTGAAAAAAGTTGAAGACCAATTTTGTGTTAGATGCAATTTGAGATATCTAAATATTTTATGCATAAAAGTAAATATCTTTAGACTTATAGTCTATAAAAAAGCCACAAAACTATTATAAAAAGCTAGTTTCTCACAATAATGTAGATCTATGGATCACAACAGTAAATTAATATTGGAAAAAGTTATTACTACCTCTATTTCAAATGTTTATGCTGTTGGCTGTATTAAATCCAATTTCTTGTTCTTACAGCTTTTCTGTATCTATTTGAAATCAGATTCAACCAAGAGTTTTTGTATAAGCTTATATAAGTGCATAATAATGGACTTCGCATAATTAAACTTTTTCATATATTCTAAAGTGCTTAATTGCTTTCTATCAATGATATAACTGAGGTATTTCCACATTACCTTTGTACAAACTGCAATCTATTCCATAATAATCTTTATCACAAAGACAGTTTTCTTCTACACACTGGCCATGATCATTACAGCCCTCTGGACAACTAAGAGCACGAATTATATCTTGGAGATATAACCCTTTCTCATCTTTCGTCAAGTCTACATGCTGTCTCAGGACTTCCTCTTCACAACGAGATTCAAGCAGTGGGATAGAGTATTTAGCCCAGTCAGGTTCATCGGTCAGAGTGACATCTACAAAACTCAAATACAGTATTGCTGATACAAAATTATCTTCAGGGTGGTAAAGGCTTGTATACACTTATTTTACTTTCATCACGATTTTGAGACAATTGAATGAGCAAAATTTGGAGAAGGAAATATACATTAATTTCTCTTAATTGTTGTGTGATTGTTTTTTAAATGTAATTCCAATATAGCTTAATATACTCCTAACATCTGAATCACTTGGAAGACTTAGAAATTTGAAAGCTTCTGAAAGTAAAATAGCTACTCCAGTAAAAACTCACCTAATACACATATGCCAATAGCTTCTAACATGTGTTTTTCCAAATACTGAGAGCATGCCTGAGCTATTGTGGAATTTGTCAATACATCAGTGCAGATGTTTACTATTTTTTCTTTTGTCCTACCACTTGGTGTTGGCCACCGTGTAACCGATTCACTAGAAGGAAATAAAGCTAAGTCGCTTTTAGATGTGAAGGGCAGAACCATGTGTACTGGTATGTCTCCACGTGGAGCTCTCTCTTTTCGTGATTTAATATCCCACTTCTCTCTGGTATGTTGAAACTTCCTCTTAGTTACATTTTTAAACTGAAAAGGTTTGACAATCTGTGATTTTGAATTTTCAGTAGAAAAAGGCCTATCTCTCTGAAGAGGAATCTCTAAAAAATATGAGCTACTTTTCTTCACATCTGGTTTGATATCTGTCTCATTATATCCTGATGATTTATTATTCAACCAATAGAATTCATTACTAATTCCAGAATACCGCTTATTTATGTTTATATCTCGCACTTCACCATTTTCTTCCACAATTTTATACCCTTTTTCTAATACCACAGTTTTTGTTATATCAATGTGATATAACAAATGGTGAAAGTCAAGTATTTTTGGAACTTCACAGGATTTCACACAGTTAAGATTGTTGGATGAATTGCATTCATGATGATTATGAAACACATATCCATTCTGTGAGAAAACAGAGTATTTTGAAACACCTAAATTCCTATTTGAATGAGAAGTGGGCTTGAATACAGGAGAACTACACATACAACTATGATGGTTGGATGAAGTGAAAGTTTCATACGGGATTTCATCGAACAGACTCTCTCCAGAATCTAAACTGAAAAAATCACAGACATAATCATTTCATTTAGGATTAAATGCAAAACCTAAATAATTCCTAAGAAACATTTATTTCTATATTGTATTATTATAAAGATTTGAAAATCCAATAAGTAGTGTTAATATGGGCTTCTAGTGGAAGATACTTAGATAGTAAAACTACCAATCCATTATGAGTAACGCTTGTATTATCTCAGCATACAGATATACGTACATATATATACAGGTCTAATATATTACATTTATTGTATGTGTTCCTGGGAGCTACTAAATATAGTACTTTCACTTGAATATATTCTACATTTACTTGAATAAAGAGCTTTATAGATTTCTTTTGTACAACATTTTATAGCCATGGCCTAGTACTGATTTTCTTAACCATAAATAAATCTGTAAATGTACATAGCCATGAATTATTAGAGGTAAATATTGCAGATTAGCTCTGAAATTACCAAGATATTTTTTTATACCATTCACTTCTAGGTGGGTATACATATTGTATTATATTCAGTAATGTTATGTTTTGCCTATTACAACACTCAATGTAAACAACTGACCATAAAAATTGGGTGGAATCACTTATTTTTTCTGTACAATACATAGTATCACAGTAGTAATTATTAGTATTAACTGTAATAATGATGGTATTTTTGATTTGTACTTTTTGTGTACCTCCTATGATATTAAGAAACCCCATAACCAATAAAGTAATGGACTCACAAGCAATTTGGTGGATCAATAATTTAGAAACATTTAAAAAGTCAAAAGGAGCCATATTGACCCAATTAGTAATTTTAAAGAGAAAAACAGATATTGATATAAAAATTTAAGTGAAAGACAGATATTTTTATATTATCAATTTAATTTCTCATTCATATTAATAATACAAGCATATTTGTTTTCCAAGTTAACCTGGCATATAATAATATAGTTTTAGAATAACTACACCTACAGTAGGTGTCTATGAATTGCTGGCAATAAATTTCAACTTAAACAAACAGAAACACAGTCCGCTTGTTTTAAAATAATATATTAAAAACAAATCAAATGTATATACATATGTTTTTTACACTGTTGGTTACCACAGTTGTATCCAGAGCTTTAAAGTCCACATCATCTGGTTTGGTTACTTTAGAACACAATTCACACAATGAATTATTATTCTCTACTCTTTTATTACAATACAGTCTGTGATAATTTCACTTTAAGAATCATCACTATACACTCTTTATCAGTAAATTAATGATCATGCAGTCTAGACCCAAGTAATGATTTTTCAATGTATATTTATATCCCAACAGAAGTCTAGAACATTCCATGCAATACTAGATATTCTGAGGCAATAATGCTCAATTAAACCAATGAGAAACTCAGAATATTCTAGCAACATAAAGCAATAATTTCACTATTATAAACTATTGATAATTCATAACAATTGAAGTAAACAAAGTATGATTCGTAAACAGTTATGTAAACAAATGTACCATAAAGTATTGCTTCTAAAAATAACTAAACATGACACCCATGCTATATAAACTATCTATATCATAATGCTTGCATTAAACTTAAACTATCTACCATGAACGAATATGAAATAGAAAAAGGTAACATAAAGTGGATGTTCAGACATACGGTAAACCAGTTTCAATTCTTTTGAAGTTCATGATTAGCAGGTGTATCAGTTGGTAAAATGGGTTTATAAAGAACAACCTGCTGGAAGGTTTCTTTGTTGGAGACTACATTTTGATACATTGAAGAAGATTCATGGAAATTTACCAAAACATTGTCTCTAACGAAGAAATCTTCAAGCAGGTTGTCTGTCCATTATAAATTCATTCTACTAACCAGTTTCAAAACTAAATCTTTAAAAATTTATATTATCTGTGTCAAGAAATACACAAAATGATCAATTCTTCTCCTACTGATTCCCCAAGGATTGTAGGGACTTAAACATAGACTGTAGTCAATAGGACATTCCAGCTCTTGAAATACAACGAAACTGAGTTTACTTTACATATCTGATGGGAAAAAGATTTGATTGAACTTACCTAATGTTGTTCTGTGAGCAAGTTATACCACTCTATAAAGTCTGTTGACCAGAAGTAGAAGAATGAAAGTGTTAAAACTAAAGTTCTTAGGAAAGGAGTAGAGGGAGTTGAATCTATCAGAAACGAGAATCTACTAAGCTAAAGCTAATAAAAACAAAACTTCAGTTGGAAGCTAACAATATCTAGTATTTTTAGACGTGATAATTTATCGCAGGTTCATTTACATAACTGTTTATGAATCATTTGTTGTGTAGTTCAATTGTTGTGAATTGACGTCATGTTACTCGAACCTTCTGAATTTTTCTCATTGCTTTAAGCAAATACTGTTACATCATAATGTCTCATATGTAACGGATTTATTGTTATATATTTATTTTAATATCAGTGTTTGTTTAAATTTAATTTATATTTAGAAATGTAAATAATGTATACTGTTAAATATGGATAGCAAAACTCCAGCCTATTCTTTAAAGTTGTAGAAGATTTTCAAGTGTAAGAATCAACAATATATGTGCATATGTAAACACCAGTGTAGCTTTGTATTGTTACGTAATCTGAATTTTCGAGAAACTCTCCACACGGCTATAAATATAACCAATGCAACATGTCTAAAAACAGTATCTATTATTGGGTTACTGTAATTGGTGTGCTATAAACTTCAGAAGCTATAATGCTTATCAATCGGGAAACTTCAGATATTTGACCAGGATCATTTATAAATTTCGAATATTACAAACCATTTAACTTCAGTGGATTTCACATAAGACATTAGTACTTTTACGAAAACATTATCTAACATAATCGGAAGAAATTCGACCTGTAATCGGCATGTGATCAGCGAGAACTACAGGGCTAGCTAGCTCCCTGTTAAGTGAATTACACCTAAGTCAACTCGAAATTAACTCGCTCATCGTCAACCCTCAACAAGATATCAAAAAAGTTCCAGACTAGAAAGAAGACTTTGTATTGCTTGTAAGTTTGTGAAACTTTTGATTATAAATCACTGTTTGTAATAACTATTTGTAATAACTGTTATTGTAAATTGTATTGTTGTTTATATATCAAAACATTTTTGTATTAAAGAAGAAACTGTGTGTATCAATCTTGTTGGCAAATATCATAAATTGGATACATATCGGCATTTACTTAAATACTAAATCAAAAGTACAATTTAACTCAGTTTTAGGCTATTAGAAATTGTAATATGTAACACGTAATTTGTAGAAAGTTCTAGACCTCAGTCGAGCAATATATATACAAATGTGTGATCAAGTTAGTGCAAGGAAATAAGTTAGTGAAAGACAAAGTAAGAGAAAGTGACACAGAGAGCTAGATCTAAATTGCGTGATTGTGAGTTTAGTCATAAAAAGCATATTGTTGTGATTTCTAAAGTGTATTGTAATAACAGAGATAGAGGAGAATAATTTGTCTTGTCAAAGGATGTTCTAAAGTAATTGAACCTACTCGTGTGGACTTTGACAAAAAGGAAACAATTATTTAAAGCTCTGGATATAGCTGTGGTAGCCAACAGTTATAGTGGTGACTTTTAAAGTGCAATAATCACAGATTGCGTTATAATAACAGAGTACAGAAGAATAATTCATCTTGTCAGTTGGTTTCTAAAGTAATTAAACCATTCTGTGTGGACTTTTGATGTAAAAGAGAATTATTTAAAGTTCTGGATATAACTTAACCCACAGGGTAACGTAAGTGAATTTATCACTGATTGTATTATCAATTGGATTCTAAAGAAACTGAACTAGCCTGTGTAGACTCTTGACAAAAAAAACAAAAAAACATTAATTAAAGCTCTGGATACAACTTTGGAGATGAACTGTGTAACAAACATTTGTATATACATTTGACTCATTTTGAATATATTATTCTAAAACAAGTAGATTGTGTGCTGTCCATTTATTGTTTAAATTTATTGCAAACTAGTCACTGGCACCTACTGTAAAGAATAATGACTATAAAAACCTGATACTAGTCATGCTCTATCTGATGATCATGAATTTTGACAGTAGCCCTATGGCAGAATTTCCATTGCAAAAGCTTCATCATATCTAGAGCACACCACTTCTCCATGCTTGCTTTCCATAATCCATCTAGTGTATAAGGATGACAGTTTCCAATTGCCCGTTTCAACAGTCCGATATCGCACAGAAATCCATAGATGCTGTACCAGTTACTTCACCAGTATGTCTTTGCATGGAGTAGTATGAACATCTATTTCATTTTCCAGCTGCTTGAGATTGCAACAGTTAAATAGATATAATGTGAAAATTTGTGTGCATTTGACTTGTGTCACTTTTCCAAACAGAAATTCTTCATCATTATGTGCATACTGGTACAGGAACACGTGTACGATTTTTGCCACTAACATTTGTATTCATGGATTCTCAGCTATTAGAAGACACCACAATTTACTTACTTTTGCTTGGATTTGAAGTTTTGCATGTTTCTTGCTGGATTGACATGGTGCCCCAAATTGATCTATATTCCTGGTTATGCAATGACATTAAATATAATGGATAGCCTTATCTTGGAAATTGTAAATCCCCGATCTGAATGTATGAATATTTTGCATCAGAAAGAGCTGTTGCATACCCTTCCTAAAAACAATCAATTTTCGTGGGCATCACATTATCTATGAAATGTCAAAGAATGTCAAAATGAAGTTCTCATACATCTCGTTTTACCAGGGCTTTATAGTGACAATTACTATTTCATGCTGATTTGGATATTCAAAATTGTGTTAACATAATGTAATCAATCCTCTTTATACCTATGAGTAATCAAACATATGTACAAGAGCTAGTTTCTTTCTGTGGCAGTAAAATAGTAACATTTCCCCAGAGAGGATCCTTCTCCCCTCCAACAACATGCATTTTCCTTTCCTTACTAACAAAACATTAGTTTCTGTCACTGTAACTATATTTCTAAATAATAATGCTCACCAACTATAATCTGTATTCTTTGCACAAAGGTAAAACTTTTCACCCAACCCCTTAGGGAACCTGGGTATTTTGCAGAAACACTTTTATGGGGATTCTCCCAAAAGTGAACCCCATATTTGGCATAGATTACATTAGAGCAGGTAAACAAATAGGATTACTAATTACCATTCATAACTTGGTTAAAGAAATTAAATATAGTGGCAATGATCATTAAACTGAATAGTAGTTCAAGCATTCAATTTCCATTATAGTAGCCCCGTAAATGTGGGTCTATGGCTCACAGGTTTGCTAAATAGTGCCAAACAATTTGTCTCAGCCCTGATGTTTGTACAAAAGCAAAGTTTTTCACTCAACCCCTTAGTAGTCAATGATACAAAACAAATAGTCTCTGTCCTGACGTTTACACAAATGTAAGTTTTTCACCCTACCCCTTTGGGAAACCTGGGGATTTCCCCAAACCACTTCTCCTAAACTACTGGACTCACTGACTTCTAGCTAGTACCTAATGAATTGTCTTGTTTCCGAGGTTTGCACAAAGGTAAAATTTTTCACCCAACCCCTTAGGAAGCCCAGGTATTTTACAAAAACACTTTTAAGGGGCTTCCATGGAAGCAGACCACAAATTTGGCACTGATTTACATTGAAGTATGTAAATATAGTAATTCAAGAATTAAATTTGTATCAAAGCAGCCCAGTAAATGTGGACCATAGGCCCACGCCTCAGTAAACGGTACCAAATGAATAGTTTCAGCCCTGATGTTTCCACAAAGGTAAAAATTTTCACCCAACCACTTGAGGAACCTGGGGATTGCCCAAAAAACCTTTCACCTAAATTGATAGATTAATTTCTAAGTGGTGCCAAATGAATCATCTCTGCACTGGGGTTTGCACAAAGGTAAACATTTTCACCTAATTAACCCCTTAAAGAACCAGGGTATATTGCAAAAACACACTTTTATGGGTTTGCTAAATGGTGCCAAAGAAATGACTCAGCCCCAAAACTTTTCATCCAACCTCTTAGTAGTTAAAGCATTAAATTTGCACTATAGAGGCCCATAGGTCCACAGGTTTGCTAGATTTGTCATTGATTTACATTATACCACATAAATAAGTAAACAAATTAATGTTCATAACTTGGTTAGAGAAATTAAATTTGCATTGTAGCAGCAACGATCATTAAACTGAAAAAAGTGCAAAATGGTAGTTCAGTCATCAAATTTACATTATAGTGGCCCTATAAATGTGGATCATATGCTGATGGGTTCACTAGTATATCAGTAAGCACCAAGGGTGTGAAATGAGTTTTAAATGTGGTTAAAATAATAGTTATTTAGATCCATGTATCTACATGGTAATCTTGATTTTGCACCACCTGAGCTGGGAGAGTAAGTCCGAGATCTCTAGCACTCTAGGCAAGTGCTCTTTTAAGTGCACTAAAAGGTCAACCCCTATAAAATAACACTTTTTGACAATACAAATTACTGCATCTTTATAGTATATATATATATATTCTAGAATCTACAGATGATCTATGTATGTTATGCTCACAAATTATCATAAGCCTACATATTAAACTGTGATCAAAACTCTGATTCAGCAATTGAAAAGCCAAACAACACTTAAGTTTCCCAATTGAAATTTAGTGAGAACTGGACTTATCAAACAATGTTTCAAGTTTGGAAGAATCAAACAGATCCAGTACATGTGTTTCAAACATGTTGATACTAATAAGTAACATCTGTAGTTGTAGCAGTAGTGGTCAGTAAGTATTGTTTTTCTTGCTGTTCAGTTCATGTATGTCTTATGCAATAAAGTATATAGAAACCAATTTCACATTTTGTTTATTATTAATTCAATGTAATGATTGAGTAAAATGAGCTACAAAAAAATAAAAGTGATACTTGCATGTTCCTATATTGTGAAAAGTGACTGAAAAAAGTATGATCCTGAGCTATTATTTACATTATTCAATTTAACATCTGTAAATAAGCAAGACATGTATATATTATTTAACAATATTATTGCAACCATTTGAGAAAATGGGGAATATTGGCCCCATTGAATACTTTTCCCAATTAAATGTGCTAAGTGAAATGTCAAACAGGCAAACAAATATACAAGTTTGCTTTGTGACACTCCAGAGAAGGAATGTTTAGAGAATGAAGAAAATAAACAAGATATATATATGCACACATGATGCCAGAGGAATGAAAAAGAAACTTTTAAATTCAAAAACAAAAGAAAAACAGGTCTAATGACTTTTTATCAGATACTTATCTCTATTCCTTAATAAAGAAAAGGTAAAAAGAAAAACAAAACACCTGCCTTTAACTTTCTAAAACTTTCCAGAATAAACAGACCATATAGTAGTTACTGAGCATCAAAAAACCAAGGGTTGAAGGAAAAAAACATGAAATTCAAAAGTAAGAACATGAACTAAACAATTTAAGTTTTACAAGGTCACAAGAAAACAGTAAAGCTTTTAATACTTGGAAATGGTTTGACAAAAAAATAAACAAAACAAACTTCAAATTAAGAAAGTGTTAAAAAGCAGCACACATTATACACACAGAAAACTGATGTTTGAAAAAAAAAATCACAACTTGATAGGAAGACCAATGCTAAACAAGCAAAATAAATGTCCATCTCAAACCAGTAGTGTCCTACTACTTTTCTCTCATTAACTACAAGAATATTTTAGAACAAAGACATCAACAGTTGTAACAAAACAAGTAAGAGCTCAAACTCATATGTCTTGCTAACTGTGAGAAATTATAAGAACAAATCATGTTAAATGACATGAGAGCATGGAGGATACTGGTTGACCATTATAGCTCTATATGGTTTATTTGATCAAATATTGAATCACTAAATCAAACTGAAACTTGTAGATAATATATGAATAAATACTTTAAGGTGAATAATGTTAACAACAGTTTTAATCCTTCTGTTTTATTATCTAAGTCAGGGGTTCCCAAACTTTTTAGAATCGCGACCCACTATTCATGACCACAGCTTATGGTGA